CTCTCTCTGCCCCCAGACCCCCACAAGGTACAACCCCCCCCACCACCACCAAGGAAGATGCCAGCCTGAGACACGGCAGAGAATGCAACGCCCTCAATCCGGAAGCAACGACTACAGTTCCCAGCGTCCTCTCATCCGCCAAACCCTTGCAGTCTGGCTCTCCGGGAGCCTCCCCCCCCAGACCCCACCTGCCCCTCCCCACGAAGCCGAACCCTTCTCATTCTCCACCCTTCTCTTGTTTGAGAAGCAGAAGAGAGGACATCCACACCCAGCCACACACACACACAACTGAACTAAAAGCAAAGCAGCCCCAGGCCCAGGTCAGAAATGGTGTATAGGAACTCCTGCTTGGGCAGGGGGCTGGACTAGATGACCTGCAAGGTCCCTTCCAACTCTGCTATTCTGTCCTGTCCTGTCCTGTCCTGTCCTGTTCTGTTCTGTTCCTTATTTCTATTCTATTCTATTCTATTCTATTCTATTCTATATTGTTATTCTATTCTATTCTATTCTATTTTCCTATATTCCTATATTCTATTCTATTCTACTCTACTCCTACTCTATTCTATTCTAATATATTTTCTATTCTATTCTATTCTATTCTATTCTGTTCTATTCTATTCTATTCTATTCTATTCTATTCTATATTCCTATATTCTATTCTATTCTATTCTATTCTATTCTATTCTATTCTATTCTATTCTATTCTATTCTATTCTATATTCCTATATTCTATTCTATTCTATTTTATTCTATTTTCCTATATTCTTATATTCCTATATTCTATTCTACAGTATTCTATTCTATTCCTACTCTACTCCTACTCTATTCTATTCTAATATATTTTCTATTCTATTCTAATTTCTATTCTATTCTATTCTATTCTATATTCCTATATTCCTATATTCCTATATTCTATTCTATTCTATTCTATTCCATTCCATTCCATTCTATTCTATTGATGGGAGACCACCAGGAAATGCCAGTAACCAGGAAGGGGCTATGCTAGGAACTTTAATATTTTTTTTTTTTTTAGAAATCCAGAAACGACAGAAAAATGCTTGCTCGGGGCAGCCAGCTTTTCAAACCTCCAACATGCCCCCCTTCCCAGCACCATGGAGGGAGGGGGGAGAATGGAGGGAGGGGGGGCGAGGCGTCGAACCCCGACTGGTCCTGGAGAGCCCGAACAGGCACAGCCCCCCCCCTCCTGGGGTCTCTACTCTTCCCACTAAGA